TCCCCCTCTCCCCCTCTCCCCCTCTCCCCCTCTCATTTAAGCCCCTCTTTCTTTCTTTGCCTATGCCTTGGGCACACTGGGCCCTGGCAGGCATCTCCATTAGGGGAGATGACAGAGCCTAAAGCTTGGGCCTTCTCTAAGGTGTCAGGCCGAGAGACGGCCAGACCAGCTGAGCGATGGGGAGCCCAGCCATTAACAAGATTGGCCCAACTGGTCTCAGGTGTCCGTTGTTAGTTCAGAACCTGGTCCCCCACCGTGGGAATCCCAGAATGGCAGGCTTGAGAGGGACTGCAGAGGGGACCTCGTCCAAGCCGGGATCATCTTTGGCAACATCCTCAGCCAGCTCCTGACGAGCCCCAGAATGTGTGGTGCTGCCCTTCCCCACCCCCAGCTCTTCACTTCTGGGCCTGCTCATGGGACTTGAGCAGAGCCAGCTCTGCCTCTCTGCCACCTGCAGCGCATCCCTTCTGGGCCAAGGGCGTGTGTCTCAACTGAGCCCCTGGAGAAGGGCAAATGCACATTATCTTAGCTGCCTGGCCACTCAGGTCATGGATTTGTACTTTTTTTTCAGGGCCTGAGGCTGAGCAAGGAAGTGAGTAAATAGTCTCTGTTGCTGAACCCCACAGCCTCTACTATAGCACTCTGCCAGGAAGTAGTGACAGACAGACAGAAAGAAAGAAAGACAGAAAGAAAAACAGACAGAAAGAAAGAAAGAAAAAAAAGAAAGAAGGGAGGAAGGAAGAAAGAGAGGAGGAGGAGGAGGAGGAGGAGAGGGGGACAGAGGGAGGGAGGAAGGAAGAAGACAGGAAAGTTCATCTCGACGCTCTAGGATGAAGAACCTGGCCTTCATATGTCCTTGCCTGGTTGATTCTCTGGCTCTACTGCCCTTCCCTAAAATCAGCATATAAGACCTGCCCTTGTGCCAGGACTAAGGAGAGAATACCCGAGGCAAGTCCAAGGGGCCTCTCGAGGGCCTTATGAGGCTGCCCAAATCCCCAGCTGGCCTTGTGTGAACTTCCTGGCCAGCCACTCCTGGCCACTGTCCAGGACTCCCCTTGATAAAAGGAAGCTTGCAGGCTTCTTCAATTTCAGCAATCATCAGGGCTGGACAAAGGAACCTGGGAGATTATCCAGTTCCTCTGTCATTTTGCAGATAGGGAAACAGACCCAGAGACGGGAAGTGACTTCCCCAAGATCACACAGCAAGTCAGTGGCAGAACGAGGACTTGAACCCTGGTCTCCTGCCCTCCGCCCCAGAACTCTTTACCCTTAGCCTGGGCCTCAGAAGCCTTGGGGCGGCCAGCCCTCATCTTGGCCTGCAAAAGCTTTAGTGTGGCTCAGAAGCCTTGGAACAGCCTGGCCTGGGCCTCAGAAGCCTTGGGGCGGCCTGGCCTGGGCCTCAGAAGCCTTGGGGCGGCCCAGTCCTTAGAAGCCTTGGGGCGGCCCGGCCCTCAGCCTGGTTCTCAGAAGACTTGGGATGGCTGGGCCTAGCCCGGCCCTCAGCCTGGCAGGGGCTGGTCCTCCCTCCAGGGAGATGCCTGCACAGCCCTGCCCCATCTCACCCCTCCTTGTCCCCTCTCCCCCCCAGGTTTACTACATCAACTTCACGGATTTTGCCAGCTATGAGGTGGTGGTGGATGAGAAGCCCTTCTTACAGTGTACCCGGAGCATCGAGACGGGCAAGACCAACTATAACACGTGCTACACGGCAGGCGTGTGCCTCCTCAGGGCCCACCAGAAGATTGCCGTCAAGATGGTGCACGCCGACATCTCCATAAACATGAGCAAGCACAGCACGTTCTTTGGGGCCATCCGACTAGGCGAGGCCCCTGCTTCCTAGACTCTCCCTGGCTGGGAGGCCAGGACACCTGGGGCCGCCCCACCATTGCACAGTTTGGATGGAGATGTAGGCATCTTCCAGCCAAGGAGAGACAGAGGAGAGAGCGAGAGAGCCAGCTGCTCATGGTCTATTTATCCCCTAATTAGTGGCTTTCGGGCGAGCCGGCTTGCTGGGACCCCGGGGGAGGCAGGGGGTAGGGCCACTGGCCTCGGGAGGGCCAGGCCAGTCTTAGGACACTCAGCACCACTGGGCTCGGGATGAGGGGTGACCCACAAGCCCATCGCCTTCAGAACTCTGACACCGCCAGCTCTGTGGCGGCAGGCACTTCGGGGCAAGAACTGGCAGAGCCAGGAGCCAGGGAGGGAGCTGCCAAAGAGGCCCTCAGTTCAAACCCCCACCCTCAGGGCCCTTGGGCACCAGCACGAGTCAATGGTCCATTAGCATCCTGCCTTCACCACTTCCTCAGGCTCTTCCTCAGCATCTCTGGGCCTCACCTCCACAGTCCTTTCCACTCTGACTTCACCTTCCTGTCTGCAAGCTGAGGGCCTTGGACTAGATGGCTTTCCACCTGAACCTCTGCTTCTGGGCTCACCTTAAGTGGGCCTTTGCCGTGATGCAGTGTGAAGGGACAGAAGTGGGGAGGGGGGAGGGACAGAGCAAGCCCACAATGGGGCCCTTGGTATGGGCTGATGGCTGTGCTGGCTGCTCGGCCCTGACGGCCTGCAGGCCCCATTGAGGCCGCCTGCTTCGACTGAGAGGAGGCCCTCACTTGGTTTCCAGCCTCCATCCTCAAGTTTGCCCTGTCTCTGCCACACCCCTTCCCCCCCCCACCCCAGCATGCTGTAGTCTGGGCTCAGGAAATGGGACCATGGCCTTCTCCCTCATTTCCAGGGCCATCCTCAGCTCTCAGTAAATTCCTGCGATTGGGCCATGCACCCCCTCCACGCACACCCAGAATCTATACTCATCCCAAGCTGGCTATGGCTTCCATTCTCCCCACCAGAGAGCTCCTCGTCTGAGACCAAGAGCTTTTCCCATTTGATGTGACGACGCACAAAAGGCTTTCATTCTGCTTACAGAATTGTGCCCACTGGCAGGGGATTGGACCAGATGACTTCTGGTCGTCCCTTCAAGGTCAAGGATTCCAGAGGCTAAACCTTAGTTGTGTGAACTAGCCCAGCTGCCTTCCACCAGAAGGGTCTATTAAGTCCTCCCCGCCTCAGAGCTCCAGGGGATGCTGAACAGTGGGAGTGCTAGCTGACCAAGGAGGAAAGGGTGAGATGTGGCTGAAGAGTCCCCCTTCCCCGTGAGGCTCGGGCCGCTAAGGGAGTCCATGATCTGTGCCGGAGGTTGGCTTGAGGCCTCTGGACTGAGCGTCGCTTAGGCAGCAAGGTAGGACACCTAAGTGGGAGCCGATGGAAAGGGCGCTGGCCCTGGATTCGAATCATGCTTCTGCTGCTTCTACAAATGGGACCTTGGCCAAGTTGCTTTGCCTCCCAAGGACTGCAGTTCCCTCAGCTGGTTTCAGGACTCACAGCAGTCTTCCTCGCAAATGGACTTTAAGGAAGCTCCAGGATGGGTTTAGAACTAGTTGTCTGCTGGTTCCAAGGAGGCCACTCTTGCTCAGCACCAATCATTCCCTAAGTTACTTAGCTTGGTCCAAGGTAAAGCCCTATCGATAGATTGGGGTAGACCAAGGCCACCAGTCGGGACAGATGCTTTCATTTTCTTGAGTGTCCTAAAGTTTTTCTTCCACTCCCACCCCTATTGCCTGACTCTCCCACCGCAGCAGAGCCTGCAGAGGGGCTGCTGGGCAGTGAGAACTGCAGAGCTTGTGTATCCCCATGGCCAAGTGGCAAGAGGGGCCTGGGGTTACACTCTGTGGCATCTGCTAGTGACAGCCTTCGGACCTAAGGCCCTACAGACACCAACCCAGTGTGGGCCTCCCACCTCCTAGAAAGCTCGCTGTTCATGATCTTTTGGACAGTCAGACACAGAAGAGCTTGCCATTCCCCTGCTCATGCGGCCAAGTGGGACTCCCAAATGGACAGTCCACAGGAGAAAGGCACTGGAAGCCTACTGAAGAAATCCAGAGCCCTGGTATGTCCATTTCTTGGCAGCACTGGCCAGCCCGGTAGCTGCTGGGACTTCCGTACTGAGAGAAAAGGTCCATTAACCTTCAGACCCTATGTCCACTTGGTGTTGCGCCAAGCAGGGCTGCTGGTCCCCCATCACGCTAACTGAATCAGTGTCTACCTACCTCCTGAGGGCTATGAGGGAGGTGAAGGACCAAGCAGCCCCACTGGCGAGAGCTTGACGCCCAAGGAGAGACACAGAGGAGAAGTGGCAATGACACTGGAAAGTACCTTGGAGAGCTCCAGAGTCTCTGGCCCAAAAGACCTTCTTAAGAAAGACCAATTCTAGACGCTGGCAGAGCAGGAGTGAAACAGGAGGAAAGGGAAAGGGCTCCCATCCCTGCCTCTCTCAGCCCAAACTGTGGGGCACTGCATGGGGTTAGGTGCCCCAGGCAACCTTCCCCAGTCCCTTCCCAAAGAGAACCTGAGAGCTGGGGGTCTTTGCTCTTTCTGACAGGGATGGGGCCCGCTGTGGTTGCTGCAGAAGAGGCCTGTGGCTGCGTTTGGAAGTTACTTTGAGGTCAAAAGAATGGGGAGAAGTTGGAGGTGTGCCTCACTGACCTTCATTCGTTTGGCTTTCCCTGAGGGCTGGAAGACTAGAAGAAAGATTTGAATCCCTGCCCTGCCCCCTCCAACGGTGCTGAGGGCCCTTCTCCTTCATGTCATGACCACTGATGCAAGAAATAGGATGTGGCTTGTCCATCTGACTAATGGAGGCTTTGGCTCACTCAGTCCCAACAGCAAAGCCCTCAGGACACCCTGACTCAGCCCCTACCACAGCCCCAGCTCCTGCCGTGGTCAATTCCAATCAATCCAGCAGACATTTTTGAATGTCACTACTATGTGCCACACCCCAGGATCTAATAACAAGCATGAAACAGTCCCTGCCCTCAAGAGGCTTCTTTTCTCCAGCTAAAGCCCAAGCAGCCTCTATGTCCAGCCCTTGGTGACTGGAGCTGCTTGGGTTGGTGCAGTCAATTTGGGGTCCTCCCCCAGCCCTACCTACACACTGAGAAGAAAGTTAAAATAGCCTCATTGGGACTTTCCATTCTCCTTGAGGATCCTGGCTTTATTACCTCACAGCAACTGGAACCCAGATGGGTCTTGGTTCTGTGGGCCATATTATAGTCACCATGTAGGTTTTATTTAACCCATTTTAATAAATCTGCTATTCAACCAAAGCGAGATGTAACTAACCTCCTTGTGGGTTCCACCAGTCTCAACTTTATGCAGGTGAAGAGGTCAGCTGAGCAACCAGCCTCCCCTGTTTGCCCCGAGCTTCCTGCTTCCAGTGGGAAAGCATCAAGATCCCCACAGGAGACACTAGCACCTGGAGGCAGGCCCCTGTGGGGAAAAAAGGACAAAGGTCCAGTACACTAAATGCTTTCTGTAGGGTGCTCTGACTAGTGCTGGTCTTCTAGCCTGCGGGGCTCAGGCAGGGATGCAGGGGGGTGGCCCGTGGTCCAAGGTCCTGTCACAGTCACTGGACTCTACTTCCCCAACACCCACTTGGTGACACCCAGGCCAAAAGGAGCATCCCCTACCTTTTGAAGTCTTCCTGTTCCCCAAGTTTTGTATCAAGCTCAGGGCAGAGGTGCCGGTGTGAGCTGGGGGCTGGGAGCCCCAGTGCAAGGCTGTATGAAAGAGCTTGGGATGGTAGGGTGCTGGTGCCAGCTGAGCCTGGGCTGCTCCCAGTCCAGGAACCAGGACAGGCTCCAATCCTCTGCAGGAGGCTGGAGGCCCAAACGGACTGCCTCTCCTCTAAGTCTCTGCACTCTGCTCTTAAAACCCCATTGGGTCCCTCCAAGAAGGGCTGGGGCAGCTGGCACCTCTTACTTGGATAGGATGTCTCTGTGACTCAGTGCAGGTGGGCCAAGCAGGCCCAAGAGATGCCTAGTGTGGGAGCACAGGCTTGCTGCGGTTTGGTGGAGCTGCTCTGTGTATATCACATATACATACTGTATATATAAGCCAGGTTGTAAGTTTGTGTAAATGAATGGTTTGTTCTTGGCCAATAAAAGCATTTCCCCCCATGAGAGGTTGGACTTGTTTGCAAAGTGCTGGCCCCTAATCCCACCAACCAGAGAGCCCCTGCTCTGTGAAAGGTCCAAGGTCTTCTTGTTACCCAGGCCCCACCCTGTGAGGGAAGGAGAGAACCAAGTTACCTCCAAGCCACCAAGGCCCAAAGAACAAGGTGTCCCTGAGCCAACACCCTCCCCTTCCCCCCACCTTTTCTCAGAGCTGCATACCTTGGGTCACCCCTAAGGCAAGGCCAGGGCCCAGGCCTAAGCAACATGCAAATGGGCCTTTTTCCCAAGCAGTGAGATAATGAGTCTACCCACCAGCTGAGCTCAGGGATCTCAGTATGCCGTAGCTGGGGTCTGAGGCCCTGAGAGCCCCTTCTCAGGCCCCTCGTGGGGCTTTGGGGCAGCCAGTTCCATGGTCTCGATAATTCCACAGAGAGTCCAGATGACAAAGAGATTCCCAGGATGCTGAAAGGCCCAGGCCAGAGCTCTAGGCATTCATGTCTCCCCCTCGGTGTACCAGGAGAAGAGGTGGAATAGAAGCATTGACCAGCAGGGTTTCTGCAGCTGAGCCCTGGTCACAGAGCTGAAGCTCTGCTCTATATAGGAAATGAGCATCCGTGGGAAATTCGATGACTCTTTAAACACCCGCCCTCCAGGAGCTCAGGAAAATGTACCCTCCGACACAAAAAGGAGCTAAGCAGAGGCTGAATGAACCACTTGCCTTGGTCTCATTGTTTGATGGGCCCGGGAGAGGCAGACACCCACTCAACGGCAGATGTTGTAGGCCAAACTAACAGACGTGGTGTAGTGAAATCACCAGTCCTCAAGGCCTTTTTTTATTCATTTTGAACTTAAATACAGAAAGATTAAAAAAAGAGAATATGTACATAGCACAACATAAAAAGAGGATTCTCTAAAACCATAAATTTACATTTCACACTGTTTACTTTTTGAGAAAAACTAAGTATTACATGTCGTTTTCAAAACTCCTCTGCCTTCCATGCTTCCTTCGAAAGTTTCTTCTATTCTCAGCTGTGCACTTTTTCTATTTTTGCCCCTTCCACCCCACCCCGCCCTAGAGATGGCTGCCATTAGACACAAATATGTGTGTGTGCTTATGTGTGTATGTGTATGTAAAACCATACTATACATACTTCCATTTATGAGTTCGTTGTCTGAAAGTCGATAGCATCTTCCTTCACAGGTCCTTTGTAGTTGATTTGAGTATTTATAAGACTCAAATTGACTTAGTCACTCAAAGTGTTCTTAAAACAATATTGCTTTAAGAGAGCATGGAGTAGTTTATCTGTCAGATTTATGAATAAGGGAAGAATTTGGGACCAAAGAAGACATAGCATTACAAAATGTAAATTAGATCATTTTGATTATATAAAATTTAAAAGGTTTTGCACAAACAAAACCAATGCCATCAAAATTATTGGGGGAAAAAGTTTGTAACAAGCATCTCTTGATAAAGGCCTCATTTCTCAAATATATAAAGAACTGAGTCAAATTTAGAAGAATACAGGTCATTCCCCAATTGATAAATGGTCAAAGGATACGAACAGGCAGTTTTCAAAGAAATCAAAGCTATCTATAGTCATATGAAAAAGTTCTCTAAATCACTATTGATCAGAGAAATGCAAATTAAAACAACTCTGAGGTACCATCTCACTCCTATCAGAGTGGCTAACGTGACAAAAAGGGAAAATGCTCAAAGTCGGAGGAGATGTGGGAAAATTGGAACACTAATGCATTGTTGGTGGAGTTGTGAACTGATCCAACCATTCTGGAGAGCAATTTGGAACTATGCCCAAAGGGCTATAAAAATGTGCATACCCTTTGACCCAGCAATAACACTGCTAGGGCTGTATCCCAAAGACATCCAAAAAAGGGGAAAAGACCCACATGAACAAAACTATTTACAGCAGCTCTTCTTGTGGTAGCTAAGAATTGGAAATCAAAGGAATGCCTATCAATTGGGGAATGGCTTAACAAGCTGTGGTATATGATTGTGATAGAATAGGATTGTGCTATAAGAAATGACAAACAGCGTGATTTCAGAAAAACCTGGAAAGTCTTACATGAACTGGTGCATAGCGAGGTGAACAGAACCAGGAGAACTTTGTACACAGTAACAGCCACATTGTTTGATGAAGAGCTGTGAATGACTTAGCTCTTCTCAGCAATACAATGATCTAAGACAATCCCAAAGGACTCATGAAGCCTGCTATCTACCTCCAGAGAAAGAACTGATATTGATTGAATGCAGTCTGAAGCATGCTATTTTTCACTCTTTCATTTTTTTTCTTTCATTCAACTCTTCTTGTACAAAATGACTAAGATGGAAATATTTTACATTTAAAAATACAATGATTGCATTATTTAAAAAAAAAACAAACCTATTGCTGTTACTCTATACAACGCTCTCTTGGTTCTGCTCATTTCACTCTTGATTATTTCATGCCTCAGATCCTTAAGAATTTAGAAGGAGCCCACCGGCGAAATGACAGACATGTCCCCCCAGCATGGCTAAGTGCTTGTGACAAGCCATCACAAGGCTCCAGGGCTGCTTTGCTCTCTTTGGTTCCTGCCCCACATTCATATGGAACTCTGGGGCCCCAAATCCGACAGACTCATTTCCGTACTAGGGAAGCTGACAAAATCGAGAATAAAGGGAAAGGAAACCTGAAGAAATGTGACTTAAGTCTAACTTCCTGGGGGAATAGCAGCTGGGTTCCTGGAAGGGGAAAGTGAGCTTGGCCTATCGACTAGACTACCCCCTCCCATCTTCCCTATTTGGGGGAACTGTGCAGCTGGACGGCACTCCCAGTTTACCTAGGTTCAAAATTTGGGTGTCATATTTAACTCATCTTTCCCACTCCCCCATCTTATCCATTGTATCTGCACAGTCTCTCTCCTAGTCATTCCCTCACGTCCACTGCCACTACGCCTCCAATGTCTAGGCTCTCATTGCCTCTTGCCTGGAAAACTGTTATGGCCTCCTACGTGGGCTCCCGGTCTCCAATCTGCCCTTTGTGCTTCTGCCACGTACCATGCTGCTGCACTGCTCAAAAAACTTCAGGGACTTCCCATGTCCCCAAGACGAAAAAATAGCCTGGCATTCCAGGCCCTAGGCACTCTGGCACTAACCTAACATCTTCTAGCACTCCCTTTCATGAATATAATGCTGTAACCAAACTGGCCTGCTAGCTAGGTCCCAGTCTTGCTCTGCCCTGTCCCACCTCCATGCCTTTGCATATGCCTCACCCCATCTCTGAAACAGATCTCCACATTCCCACTTACTAAAATTCTTTCCCTTCCTTCAAGACCCAGCTTAGGCACCACCTTGTCTCAGAGGCCTTCTCTGATCTCTGACCTCCACCCCTCCACCCAGGTAGAGGAGATCACAACCTACCTCTGCAACCTCCCCTTTTTATAATCTAATGTCTAATAGAGTTAATTTTGTGTGCTTCTCACATCCTTGAGGTCAGAGACTGTCTCATAGAATCTCAGAGTTCGAAGGGTCGGCAGGCAGGCAGCCAAAGAAAAAATCCCCAAGACGAGGTCAGCCTTTGCTTGAAGAACTTCGGTGAAGGGAGACCCACCACCTCCCAAGGCATAACCCATCCTGCTTTGGGCTAGCTCATATCCAGTCGTATCTGTCTCTCTGCTCCTAGGTGTGTCCTTTGGGACCAAACAGAATGAGTCTTTTCTCTCTTCCACTTGATGGCATTTCTAACAGAGCCTGGTGGTGCTTTACAAATAGTAAGCACTTTTAATAGGTATTTGAAGACAGGAATCATCACATTTTTTTCATCTTAGTATATCCTCAGCATTCAGCACAGGTGCCTTGCAATAGGTGCCTAATAAATGTCAACAGAGTTTAATGGAATGGAAGATGAGATGTTTTTGAGGGGAAAACCATGTGAGGGAAATCATGTGAAGGAAAGCCACGGGCGTAATTATTATTGATTTTCAGGGGGCCTTGCTAAGGTTCTAGACTCACCACACTTCCTCTCCCTCTTCAATCCTTTGCCTTCTGGCTTCAGACAATCAACCAATAAACATTTATCAAGCACCTACTGTGTACCAGGCACTGTGCTAAGCACTAGGAATACAAAAAGGCAAAAGACAATCTCTGCCCTCAAGGAGCTTCTGATCACTGCTCTGCTGAAACTGCTCCCTCTGAGGTCCTCAATGATGTCACCAAGTCACAGAGAACTAAGCAGCCAGGAGATAGCTGGAAACCAGTTAGCAAGGTAACTTCTACCCAGGTGTCTAGTTAGATTGAATCATAGAATCAGATTTCTGCTTGTGGGGTGCAGTTTGCTTTAGGACAGAGTACAAACACCCAACATAAACAAAGGCTCACCTGAGCCCCCCAGCCTGACAAACAGGTATGTGTGGCCACAAGGGTTAACCAAGAGAGGGACTAGAAAGAAAGAGCAAAAGCCCTGAGGATCTCCCTTCAAGCAAGGACAGAAGGCAAGCAAGAACTGTGGGCACCTGGCAGTGTGTAACGTTGACGTTTCTGCTAATACCAAACACAACCCAAGAACACCCCCAAGTACGCTCAAAGTGCAAGTTGGTCTCCATCGTAGAGGAGAAAGTGAAAGGACCAGAAGACTGTCTCTACTGTCCGGGTGACTGGGGACAATAAAGTGTTCCTTTAATGGAAGAAGTGTTTCAAGTGAAAAACAGGAAAATGATGTGAATGGAGTCAGAGGGGAATCCTAACCTGGGCCAGGAAGTTGGAGGGCAGAAGGATGTGACATAGTGAAGGAAGGGGAAAAAAAAAACCACTGGCCATGTGGGCAAAGGATACCACCACAAGGCATCTAGAAAGCCTTGCCAACAATGACCAAGTCCTAGGCAAAATCCCAAAAGACTGCTGCCTCAAAGTAGAGGAATCTGAAAAGAGGAGAGTATTTAGGGACTAATCCACTGCCACAAATGATGGTGTCTAAGAGCAGCGTTTGGATCTGGGGGCCGTGGCTTAAGATGACGAAATGAGGGACTTGACCGGGAATTGGATATCCTTACAGCCAGAAGAATCCATCTGCCCGCAGCCTTGGAAATCGGAAAAGAGAGACAAAGAGAGGAAAGTGTCTACATCTTTCTATGCCAAGCTTGATATCAGAAAAAGTAGCAAGTACAGCATAGGAGGAAGAATAATGAAAGAGGGCCAGTGACTAACAGGAAGCAATGTCCATGAAGAGAGCCAGCAATGCCACCTCACATGTCAAAGTGTGAGTGCAAAAGGGAACCGGAGGTCCTAGTACAAGGAAGCAAGCGAGACAGTAGAGGTGGCATAGACCTTGTGATTGGGTTGTAGATAAAAAGCTGGGGGGGGGGGAGCGACATCCTATATGAAGAAGACATGTGAGACTCATGTGAGGAAATCCAGGAAGCACAGGGGTGAAGGAAACATGGCTGAGAGCACTGGGATGAGGACCAACTGGAGAAGGAGTGGAAGAGGTGTGGTTTTAGGAGTGCACCACAGGCTACTTGGGTTCTAGAAACATCCCAAACCTAGCACAGAAACATGAAGTCGTAGTGACTGCACACTTCAACTATCCAGACACCTGAGGGAGCTCCAACCAAAGCAGAGAAGCCACTAAGTTGGGGGCTTGCTTTGATAATCAAGGGGATCTGTAACTGCAGAAATAGAAATGACTCATGAGCAAGTAATCCAAGTTCCAACTTCAAATTTGGGATTGGGAAGAAAAAGTTAGAGTGGCCGTGACGGAGAAAAGACTGGAGACTGTGCCAAGCGACGAGCCGCTAGAGGGAACGGGGGATGTCGGCCCAGGCCACGAAGGGTATACAAGTGCTGCGCTTGGGTTTAGACTTGTTCTTCTTGGTCCCTAGAGAACAGGACTGAGGGCAGTGAGATGAGAGAGAGAGAGAGGGAGAGAGAGAGAGGGAGAGAGAGAGAGGGGGAAAGAGAGAGGAGAAAGGATAGAGGGGGGGAGAGAGAGGGGGGGAGAAGGGGAAAGAGAGAGAGGGGAGAAGAGAGAGAGGAGAGAAGAGAGAGAGGAGAAAAGAGAGAGAGAAGAGAGAAGAGAGCGAGAGAGAAGAGGAGAGGGGGGAGAGAGAGAGAGGAGAGGAGAGATTGATTTAAGCTTGATGTCAGGAAACCAACCAATGAGAGCTGTCCAAGAGTAAGGTCGTGAAAGGTCTTCAAGCATAGCCCAGCTGGAGATTGCACCAGGGGTGACCTTGACCTCTAAGTGGCCTTCGAGCTCTAAGGTCTGTAAGTCCCTGAAGGGTGGCCTCTGTCCCCAAGCTTCACTCTCCCACTTTCAGTTCTCATTCTTCTTTGCTGTTTCTGTGCCTGCTGACTGCCCTCTCTTCTTTGGTGCCTGCTGACTGCCCTCTCTTCTTTGGTGCCTGCCTCCTTGGCTTCCATGAGCCCCCATTTTTCAGGTTCTCCTGCCTCCCTCATCACTCCTTTTTGCCTTCTCTTGATTCCCTCTGCTCTGTCCCTCTACGTCAGCCTCTTCACTGGCATCACCTGGCACGGGTGCCCGAGTGATTCCCAAAGCCACATGGCTACCCAGCAGGCTCTCTGTGCCATGTTTCCTGGAGCCTCGCTAAACACCTGCTCTTCTTTCTTCCTTTGCAATGTCTGTTGGTGGCTGCACCACCCACGTACCCCTGCTTAGGAGACTACTCGGCATGTTTCGCTTGGGGTCCCGTCAGTCACCAGGTGTCATTCCCGCCATGACCATCGGTCACCACAGCCTCTCACCCATCAAATCAGTCCAAGCTCCTAAGCCTGGCATTTGAGGCCTCCACAATCTGGCTCTAATAGCCTTGACCAGTCCAAGCTTGCATGGGTCCCCCTCTCAGAATTCTGTTTGGCTTGACATCCCTGGAATGTCGCCTTTGTCTTCTGGCTTGGGGGCCTCTACAACTACCATTCCCCCTGCCTGCGATGTCCTCCCATAAGAGCTCCTTCTGGTGATGTCCTTCAAGGCCCCACTCAAATGCTGCCTCCCCCAGGAGGCCTTCCCAGCCCACCCCCATCAAGACATGCTCTCTCCTTCCACTGATTGTGTAGCACTTTATACGCCTCCCATGTACCTGTATTCATTCTCTTGCATACAGTAGTTGTCTGTGTCCATGTTTTCTCCCCTTACCAAACTGGAAGCTCCATGAGGGCAGGCCCCATGTCTCAGAGAACCTTTGTATCTCTCCCCCCCAGACCTTGTTGTGTATTTGGCACTTAATAAATACTTCTGGAACTGCATTTCAGGAGGCATTTTTATTGGCTGTCCAATGGTATACTGTGCCCTAAGGAAGAGTTGCCACCCCCACACAAGAAATCGTGAGCCCCCTGCTAATCTCATGCCTTGCCTGGCCCTGTGCCACTTCTCTGCCTCCAGAAGCCCAAGGCATGAAGAATTGAAACAATCACCTGGCTCAACCCAGTGGGAGAGGCTCCAAGCTCTCTTTATCTGCCCCTATCTGCCCCCCTAGCTGAGTCTCCGCGTCCAGCAAGTCCACCCACAGCTCCCGTACATGCATATCCTTGCCTGCTTCCTTAACATCTCCCTCCTAAGACGCGAAGCTTGCTGATGGGCAGCTTTCAGACAAACTCCAGCTCCTGGCTCTCCGAGATCCCATATTGGACCTTATGCTCATCAAACAGCTTCCGCAGGGCCGTGAGGTACAGAGCGTGGTATTTGTCCACCGTCTCCTGGCTTGGGTTCTCTATCTTAGGGATCGGTAGGGGCTTCCCAACTGCCAGGGCAGAAAACGAAAATGGGAAGGCATCAGAATCACTCCCTCCCTGGAAGGGACCGTCAGCAGCAAACCCTGGACTGAGGCCTTCCCTCCCCTTTCCCTTTCCTCCTCTCTTTTCCCCTTCTCTTCCCTACCTTCTCCACCCCTTCCCCTAGCTTGAACAGTGACTCTCGGAAGCCCCTGACTCTCCAGACTCTTTTACTGGGAAGGATCATAGACATCATTGAGTCCAAAGGAGTCATTTCTTTAGGTTTCACACAAGTTGGGCACAGGATGAGGGGGGCACAGGGTGAGGTGGGCACAGGGTAAGGGGGGCACAGGGTGAGGGGGGCACAGGGTGAGGGGGGCACAGGATGAGGGAGGCTCAGGGAGAGGTGGGCACAGGGTGAAGGGGGCACAGGGTGAGGGGGGCACAGGATGAGGGGGCACAGGATGAGGGAGGCACAGGGAGAGGTGGGCACAGGGTGAAGGGGGCACAGGGTGAGGAGGGCACAGGATGAGGGGGCACAGGGAGAGGTGGGCACAGGGTGAAGGGGGCACAGGGTGAGGGGGCACAGGATGAGGGGGCACAGGATGAGGGGGCACAGGATGAGGGAGGCACAGGAGGTGGAGATGAGAGTAGGATGAGGGGACTGGGAGGAGCATAGGCTTGGGAACTGGAAGGATCCTTAGGACAGACTGTAGAAATCATCCAGCCCAACCCCCTTGTTTTCCAGATGAGGAAACTGACACCAAACCTGCTGCCCTGTGCTGTATGCCTCCTCCAAGACACAAGGGGTCTGTCTTGGGAACCTTTGGATCCCTCATCTTGTCCCCACCTTCACAGCACTAAGGCCCCCAAGAGCTCTTCGTGATTTCAGGGATCTGTCCTTTTGCCAGGATGCCCACGCCCTCCACGTACACAGACGGCAGCCTGTCTGTGCCTGGGTAGATGGCCAATCCCCCTGGGGCTAGCCTGGGGAGGAGCTAGGGGCTGCTGCCTGCCCTCATGACCTCCCTGGCTTGCTCAGGCCTGTCCGCAGCCAGCACTGCCTTGCTTCTGCGACTGAGCCTGGAGCGAGAGGCAGTGTCGGGTCTCAGCCAGACAAGGGACTCACTGATGGTGGTGATGGGCCGGTTGTAAGGCAGAAGGCCCCAGGAGTTCTCAGTGAAGCCACGGCCATAGAAGGCGCAGGGGTAGATGTGCACCAACCTCTGAAACCATTGCTGCAAGTGGTTGACCCAGCCTCCTGGAGTGAAGACGTGCTGGTCATAGATTTCATTTTCTCCAAAGGAGTAGGAGGGGACCAGGGCCACCCTGTGGAGATAAGGGGGATGAGGAGGGAGGGGCAGCCTCCCCTGGGCCCCTTCCCTTCCCTTCCCTTCCCTGTCTGGCTAAGGCTGGGCCCCAGGGGCCTCTCCCCCTCTTCCTTCAGCAACAAGGGATCCCAGCAGGCCAGTCTGTTCACTGCCACCGTATCCCTCACCCCAGACTCCATCCAGGTCATCCCCTGAGCTCCCTAAGGGCCTTTCTTCATCCCCTAAGGGCTGGCAGAAGGGAGCAAGGACCCCAGGCCCACCCCAGGCCAGGCCACCTACCCGTGCTGGAGGGCCCTGCGCACAAAGCCCTGACGTTTCTTCAGAACAAGTGTGGAGATGCCGGGCCTGCCATAACGGCACTCAGCCAGGCCGCCCACCACCACCACCACAGCATTGCCGGAGCCTTTGCTGCTCAGCAGGTAGTCCATGGAGGCTCGGCTCACAGAACATGCTCCTAAAGGGCAGAGAAGCTCAGAAGGGCCACAAAATCTGCTACAGCTGCCGGGCAGGGTAGGCCGGGTGCCAGGCAGGGCAGGGGCCAGGTGGAGCAGGGCAATCTGACTGGGCCTGAGTCCAGAGGCTTCATGAGGCAGGAACCTGGACTAGGGCTCTGTATCCCGCATTCGTTAACTTCAGGATATAGCCTGGAGTCTCCTTAGTTAAGGGGTAAAGTTGAGGGCAAGGGGAATAGAGAAGGAGAACGGGGAGGTTCTTTTCCTGGGGTTGTGTGCCCTGATCTTGGGTGGACAGATGGGTCTCACATGCACTAATGGCACAACCCCCTCATTGTTTCCCCATTGGGAAAGGGCAATGCCAGTCTCCACAGAAGCATCAGGAGGTCGAGGGGCCCAGCCCCAAATGGCTTCTATCTGAGTAAAGAGTCCACAGGGACACCTCTGTTCTCCAAGGATCTCGAGAGGGCAGGGTCCTCCAGGGGTCATTTAGCCCAGCCCCAGGCCTCCAAGCCCAAATGTCCCAATCACACCACTTCAGAAGCTTAGAAACAACAAAGTCCCTATTATCCCAGGGCCTGCTTTCCCCGGGCCTCCAGACTTTTCAAGACTCAAACCTCCCAAATGATGGTCTGCCCTTTCCCTGGCTCTGCCAAAGTGTCTAGATGCAACTGGAGGCCCTCCCACAATGCTCACCCAGAATTTAGCACAATAGAGAGCAACACCCCACTTCCCCATCCCCATGTGGTAGATGAAGCATGCACTCAGAGGTCTCAGCAGACAGTGTAGCCTAGCCCAGCCCAGCCCAGCCTTTTCAACTGTGGAATGAGGTCTGTGTTCACCCTTCCTGGTTCCCTGGAACCCCAGCCTTACAGTGGCCATTCCCAGCTTGTATACACCTCACCCTAAGGGTTAGAGCAAGAGATCTCTCTCCCCAGTTCCCAGAGACAGCTCAGTTGAGGAATCCAACTGACTCAAAATCTGGTAGATCAGAATGAGAAAGGAAATGGGAGTGGGAGGGGAAAGGTAGGCTAGGTATCCCAGACTCCCAGAATCAAAGCTAGAAGGGGCCCTAGAGACCATCCCCATTATCACATGCTCCACAAATCGGCCTCCAGCCTCTGCAGGGAGCAGGAGCCCCGCCCTGTCCAGCCCAGCCCTGCCCAGCCCAGCCCAGCCCAGCCCAGGCCACCTGTGGTTAGCCCACTGCTTCTCAGGGGTGTTGTTCCTGACCTCAAGACTAAATCTGCCTCCCTGCACCTTCCCCCCATTACTTCTGCTGGGGCTGCCCTCTAGAGCCACACGGAACAAGTCTAATTGATCTGGCACAGGACAGAAAAGCAGCATAGCTGGCTCTCCAAAGTCTTCTTGCCTCTAAACTGAATAGCCGGATAGCCCCAGCTCCTCGATAGCTGTCCCAGTGGCCCTTCCCATGGAAAGTCCAGCCGTCAATGCCCCTTCTCTCCTGAACACCAGCTGGCGCCTCTCCTCTCAAAAGGCAGCCCCCCCCCTCAGAACCTACAGTGCAGAAGAGTCTCCCCACCCTGTACTTCTGCATCAAGACATTTCAGATCTTAGTATAGGGCTGGACATTTGTCCCCATTAAACTGTCCCTAATTAGGTCCAGCCCAATGGTGGATTCCAAAGCTGTCATCCAGCTTTCTCTGCATGTGTGCCTTCACCTAAGTCTTTAATACCAATGTTGGGCAGAATATTACTAATCACTGTAGCTAGTAGGACTGGAATCATATTTTAAAGTCAACAAAGCAGTCCAGGTATCGGCTCCTGTGATCCTCATTTGCCCAGAAGAGGGCTGAAGATGGACCCCTGAGGCACTCCATCAGAGACATCCCTGTTTCTTTGTCTCGTCAGGTCTGTGTGTGTCCCCAGGTGGATCTGTTTGTTCCTAGGTGGGCTGACGAACGTGAGCCCTCATATGGAATTATCTGGTGGAGGACAGAAGGGACCTTCTTATAGAGGTGTGAGCGATAGGAGCCTATGAGAGATGGAAACATTGGCCACTCCCACACCCCACAGCTAATCACCAGCCTTTCAGACCCATCTCCTGGGTGAAGGCGTGGTCACCAAGCAACTCACCACTAGACATCACGTATTCCCTAAGGACGGGCACCCAGAAGAAGGCTCCCAAGGTGAGTAAGTGTGGGGTGATGCCGGGGAAGATCCTGGAGAAGCCAGAGGCCTCAGTAGCAAAGTGGCAAAAGGCGCTGTGCGACATGAGCCCATGGGGGTGAGTTGCGATGATGTAATTGTGTCTGGGGGATAAGTCATGAGTCTTCACCATCTGGGGAAGAGGGGGAGACTGAGTCAAGAAGGAAGGTGGACCAAAAGGCAGCAAAGGGCCAGGACCAGGATGTAGAGATCTACTCACCTTGAGTGGAAAGTAATCTCTGTATTGTTTCCATAGGCACCAACCTCTCACCCAGTCTGACCTCCGGCCACCTGCAAATATACCAGAACCTCCCCAAACTTGCTCCCCCAGCCCTTAGGGCCAAAGTTGCAGAGGGCCAGAGCTTCCCCCTCTGGGTGCTCTCAATTCTCCACCACAATCACTCTGTCAGTATGACTAGCCCCATTTTACAGGAGAGCAAATGGAGGATAAAAGGCATGAATCCAGTTGCCCAGGGTTGCATAGGATATACCTCAAAGCTGGGACCAGACCTTTTGACTACAGGTCCCAAGTGCTTTCTGCCATTCTGCACCACACACTGCTCCACCCCCAGAAATGAGGCCCAGCTGGGACCAAGCACCCCTTCCTGCCTGGGTTTATGTTTTAGTCCATGCTCAGGCCTCTCCCCCACTCCAGCTCCCCAACAACCCCTCCAGGGCCCTACCTTGCTGAGGGGTCTTCCAGTCAAAAATCAGCCAGATAATTGTGAGCCCAGCCAGCGGCCAGTACGGTGTGAACACCACCAGGTAGAGGTGGGAAAAGACCACAAAAAAACCTGAGAGAATCACAGCAAAGCATTAAAGGGGAAATCAGCTACAACTCCTAGCAAATCACACACACTCACAACACACACTGGTGGCCGCTGCTTCTCAGGGGTGTTGTTCCTGACCTCAAGCCTAAACCCTTTCAGTACCAAGTCAGCGGCACAAACATAGTCAGGAAGCAGAGACCTCAGAGTACAGAATCTCAGAGCAGGGACCCTAGAACACATAATGGCAGAGCTGAGGGGAGGGAGTGGGGAACCTTAG